ATCTCTCTCTCCTCCCATTCATTGGTTTTTCCTATACATAATATTACATTCATTTATTCTTATCACAACCTTTTCTTTTATATCTTCATCTTCATCATCAATCACCAAACTACAATCTAGAATCTTGAATGGCAGTTCAAGCTCAATACCCTTCCAATATCCTCTTGTTTAATAGGTTTGCATTCTCTCCTCTCCTTCCTCTTTTTTTTTTTTGAATTTTTTTTATCATATCCTCAATCAACATGTGATTCTTATCTAATGATCCCTGCTATGATTTCCACTGCGTAATTCTGCAGAAACTCACAAGAAGGGCATGATCATTCATTACAACCACACCCAGGAGGATATCTTGATCAATCCCACATGCTTTTCAACAATGGAGGAGGTAACAAAATCATATCTTCTTTTGTGCCATTCACTGTGATTCAATCAATAAATTCAAGAGTTGCTTTTTTAAAATTAAATATAAAAAAACAAGTTTTAAATTGGGTCTGTTTGTTCAATTCGATCACACCAGGCAACACCAGTCAGCAGCGCAAAAGAGGAAGAGAAACTTCAGCAGCGACCACTGAAGATATCACTCCTCCAATCACTCCCTTCTCTTTGCAACAACAACAAGAATCCCAACCTCCTCAGCTCATCGACCTCTCTCAGCTCCACAACCACCTCCACCTACAAAATCCCAATGTCGTCTCCACCGGCCTCCGCCTATCCTTCGGAGACCAGCAACAACCACAGCAATTCCAACAGCATCACAATCAACAACACCACCACTCTTCAGCCCTCTTCTCTGCATTAACAGAGGACTTTGCCACCCAAATCAAACACCAGCGCGACGAATTAGACCAATTCCTCCAAGCCCAGGTATTACTTTTTCCTTTTCTCAAATGGGTTCCTCGAATTCTTCAATTTCATCGGGAAAAAAGAGAGAGAATTGAATTCAACTTCATGATTTTGTAATTTTATAGGGAGAGCAGCTGCGGCGCACGTTAGCAGAGAAAAGGCAGAGGCACTACCGTGCGCTGCTAAACGCGGTGGAGGAATCAATAGCTCGCAGGCTGAGACAGAAAGAGGTAGAGGTTCAGAAGGCCACGCGCAGAAATTCCGAGTTGGAAGCAAGGGCAGCCCAACTTAGCGTTGAGGCCCAAGTTTGGCAGGCCAAGGCCCGAGCCCAACAGGCCACTGCCGCGTCTCTACAGGCCCAACTCCAGCAGGCCATGATCAGCGGAGGGTTTGCGGCCGCCCAGGATAGCAGGAGAGGGGAGGAGGGAGTAGTGTGCGCGGCGGGCGTGGAGGGCCGGGCTGAGGATGCTGAGTCGGCCTACATTGACCCGGAACGGGTGACCGTGTCGGGTCCGAGTTGTAAAGCGTGTCGGAAACGAGTTGCCTCGGTTGTTTTGTTACCTTGCCGGCATTTGAGCTTGTGTACAGAATGTGACCAAGTGATTCAGGCCTGCCCATTGTGCCTAACCTTGAGAAATTCGAGTGTGGAGGTCTATCTTTCTTAGGGCTCAGGCCCAAGCCCAATGCCAGAAGCAAAGGCCCAGAAAGTGGGCAGACTTGCATGTGAGCAGTGATATTAAAAAAAAAAAAAAAAAAAAAAAAAAAAAAAAGGAACCAAATATTATTGGCTAAAATAATTTTTTTTTTCTTTTGTTTTGGAAAATAATTTGATATTGCCTCTCAATATTTTCATGTTTTACTTTTGGATTCCCCCTCTTGGAGTGAATTACCTTTAGAGGTTTTGTACATGGCCACATGGGTAGTGGCATTTTTTTTTTTTGGTGAATTATATTCATATACAAATTCTTTTATTTAACATATATTCTTTGCCTTCTTTTATTTTTCTTATAATTATTTTGTTTATTATAAATGGTGATGTTAATTAATATAGCATGCTCACCATTTAAAAGGGGACAAAAACAAGAGTTTGAATTTTGAAATTAGGTTTTGGATACATGAAGAAAGCAGTAAGAGGTGTATTCTACTTGTAGTGTGCGTGAGGTATGTCTTATGTGTTGGTATCTTCATTACATGACATTACATTCACTCTCAATTGATTTTCACATAAATCTTTCATAACACAATATTTTTATTTATTTATTTATTTAATTAATGGTCTAATCTGTTGTTAAATGGAAATCATATTGCAAGTGATGAATTGTCATAGTGGTTAGAACATTTCTCTTTAACTCATTGCTAGAAAGGCTTGTGGGGTTTGATTTTTGATAGGATTAGCACACAAATGTCCTATTGATTTTCCTTATTAACACTAAGATTTGTTAATTATAGCATATGAAAATAAGGGATTTTTCCACAGAAAATTGTTTTATCGAACTACTTAAAATGTCACAAAAATTGGGCTGATGTCTCTACTGACCAGCCACCGAAAAATAATTATTAGACCAACTTACACTTATCTAAAGTCTACGAAATTTTATATGAAGAAATTTTATATGAAGACACTAGGCGCATAGAGCTACACTCACACAAATTTTGGAGTTGATTTTCTATTAAATTAAATCGAACAAAAACAGGACAGAAACATATTTTAAGTAGTTCACAAATTAAGAAAAACGAGTTAGGGGAATTACTATCCACCACCAAATAATAATGCAAACATGTTATGTTTCATTCAAATTCCTATTTAAATTAAATTGAACAAAAACAGGACAAAAACATATTTTAAGTAGTTCACAAATTAAGAAAAACAAGTTATGAGAATTGCTATCCACCACCAAATAATCATGCAAACATGTTATGTTTCATTCAAATTCCTTTTATTTCCGGATGAAGATGCTCAAGTAGGCTCAATGTTAGAACTCAATCTATTACTCTTTCTTATGTAGTATGTTAAGAGAATAATGTTTTCAACTTAACTTAGTCCATAGCATGCAATCTAGAATGGCGTGTTCATAGATTTAACAAGTAAAAATCATTAAGAACGAAAAGAGTTTGAGTCATCACAAGGCATCGTAAGTACTAGCGTTGTCTTACTTATCCTAGAAATTAGTTCACATGTTAATCGCAATTAACAAGTATTACTCTAAAACATATGTAGGTCCTCATTCGACAAGGGTAGACACACACATATTCATAACATTAGAATCCTAGATATGCTTACTAAGTATGAATCCATAGAAACAAATAAATAATTCATCAATGAGACAAGTAGTAAAACCAATTTTCATCTATTCATAAAAGTAATTCAAACGAAATGTCATAACAAACTTGCAATCATATTCGGGGCTTCAAAACAGCCCCTAACTACAAAAAATTTAGTTACACATTATTATCGAATAAAACCAAAAGAAGAGAATGCCAAGATTTCGTCATTCATTTCCTTCCTTCCCCAATGTTGCTGCCTTACCTTTTCTTTTTGTTATATTTTTTTTCTCCTCCTCTTTGCCGCTGCAACCTGCAGCCTTTTTGTTCTTGCTTGCTGCCCCAGTTTCTTCTCCATAACTCACCCTACTAATAGCCATTTAGTGATGACAATAAGTGAGAGAAAATGGTAAAACAATTGTAACTCTTTAGGTAGCCTTTATGCCCATTACTCCCACTTAATTCTCATCTTTATTTCCATTTCCTCTAATATTTGAATATGTGTCAGCTGACTTGTTCTTGGCTGCATTAGTTTTGGCTGCTAGATTTATTGGATTTATTGCTTTCAATGCTTTCTTGTCAGTTACAAACTGTTCAGTCTCTTGGGAACCTTTCAGTGTTAAAATGGTCATAACCATTAGACTTGTTGGGTTTGATGGATCAAGGCCCATTGTTCTTATTCAACTCTGTTGCAGTTTTTCAATCTCTACCTTAAGTTCTAATTAGCAAGGCAATGAGTGATATGAACTCTTACAAAACGATTGTGAATTGAAACTAATTTTCAATTATCCCTTTAATGAAGATCAGAGCTTCCACAAGTCATAATCGACACCTAGTAGCTTATCAAAGCAACTCCACCCAAAAATATACCCTGGGCTATAGGCAACCCAATCCCCTAACCCCCAAAAAAAATGCTCCAACCTTACCCAGTCAATTGGGCCAAAGGAGCCTAACACAGCACCCAAGCCCGAATTGCCTCACCTAGTGACTGGAGGGGAATGACATCAGCGTGGCATCAGTCATGTTTTGGATTTTATTTTTTTTCCGCTAGGCGCATGAATTACACCCTGGAGAAACAGCATGTCACCCCACAAGAATTCATGGTTGAGGCCCACGTGCAAGCGCACTAAACTCCAGATTTTGGAGTGATGTGGCTCTTCCTGAGCCGTTGGTTTGAAACAACTATATTTCTAGGCCGTTGGATTTCCAACAATTAAAAAAATTGAAATTCAAATCCAACAGCTAGATGATGTGTCAACTTCTAGACACGACACGTGCGGCACAATTTTCGAGGAGAGTGGTAGTGTAATGAGACACCAAATTTAGGGAGAAGAACCAAAACAAACTCAAGATCCTAACGATTGTTTGGGACATAGGTTATGTATATATTTGTGAAGAAATATACACTTGCGCCTAGTAATGAACTACAGGAAAAATAAGATGTCATCTCATATGGTACCGATGTTGCATGGTAAGAATTAGTTAGATTTTTCTTTTATTTTTTTAACAAATAATAGCGTTAGTGAGTTAAATTGTTAGTTGTTGAGAGCGAAGGAGATCAATGGGATCGATTCTGCACCATAGTGCATAAGCATGATTGCTTTCTACTACTGCGGTAAAGTGCCACTTGTGAGGATTAATTTGTTATCAATGCGAAGTGGGATACTTCCTATGTTACAAATAAATTAAAAATTAAAAATATTTCATAAAAAAAGGAAAGAAAGAAAAGAGTTACTGAGTTAGGTCCCTTTGGGACCTGTAAAGGTTGATGCCCTTTTGTTCAGTTCTGTGCAAGTCACTCTCAAGAAATGATTGCCTCAGTTTGAGTTGGGCCTTTGACTAACGCAATCATGCTTTGAGTCCATATGAGTACTGATAAGTGCTAACCCAACTAATTTTTCTTAAATAATTATACAAATATCCAAACAATGCTGCAAAGATACATATATCAGTTTGTTTAATTGATCTTTTCCCTTCTTTTTCCCCTCTATTTTTTGCAACCTCTTCTCCCTACATATCAATTGCTTACCATGTCTCGCATCTCATTGATTACAATTGTTTGGTGATATGTCTGGCATGTAAGAGCAAGTCCACCGTGTGCTTCAGCTCGAGGGACAGGCGTAGGAACAGGGCCTTGTACGTAGCCCGAGTGATGAAGTGCAGCGTGTATTGGCGAGCGAGCCCGAGCAGGCCCGAGCACCCGAAGGCAATGTGACGTGGGCTGACGTTAGGGTGACGTCAACCATAACATAAAATTAAAAAAAATATATAAAATATTAAAAAAAGGAAAAATTAGTATCCGGTCCCTAGTTCTTACTATTCATTAACTAAGACCTTATTAGTTCTCAAATTTTGATTCAAGTCCATTGCATTAATGTGATAATGAATTTACATGTTTATTATATAATTTTTTAATATAAAAATTAGTAATTAATTTAGGATTTAATACTCACACCTCTATTAAACTTCTAATTGATTTTCAATTCAAACATTTCCAAAATAATAACAAATTATATTAAATTAAGTTTGTACCTATTAGTTTATATATATATATATATATATATATATATATATATATATATATATATATATATATATAGATTCTCAATTTTTTAATCTTAAATGTACCCATTCATATAATTTTTCATTTTTTTAATCTTAAATGTACCCATTCTCAAATATATCAATTTGTTATATGTAACATGTACCCTTTTTTTAATATAAAATCCATTCAAAATTTTTAATCCATGTTTAAACTTATATGGGTACATTCTTTTGATTTGAATGTATTCATGTTTTGGTACAATAACTTTTTTGTTAAGTTAATGTAACCATACATATATGTATACACATACACACACACACACACAATATAATAGAGAGTATAATTTATAATTTATTATTTTTAATCCCATAAATTATGGGTTTTATTTAAAATCTCATTAATATAAACAATTACAAATTTCAATTTTTAATTTTTAATTTAAAAAATATAGTAACTTACATTATTACATTAATGTCAGGGACCTCAATCAAAAACTAAAACCTAACAAGGTTTCAATAAAAGAATATTGATAGTTAGGGACTGCATCCAAGTGTCCCTTAAAAAAATTAAAAAAAATGAAAAGCCAGTAGGCTTCGAACTCAACGGCTCTCGCCAGAGTTTGTCGCCGAGGTTGATGATACACCCACAGACAAATGGCAGAGACTAAACCCAAGGGTTTCAACTCGAAACACATCAAAAACCAGAAAATAACTCAAGCAATTGAAGTAGGGAAATAACCTCATTTGGGTTTGAGCAATGGAAGCTTGAAGCTCTCGGCTTCAATGGTGGATCACCCAAATGGTGCTCTAATGATGCATGCAAGGATATATTCGAGTTTCTCTCATCCAGGGGATTGAGATTTCAGAGTTTGTTAGTTTGATTTGCTTCGGTTTCGAAGAAGAAGAACGATGAGAGCTCTTGGAGCTGTAGAAAGAGAATAAGAGATTAAAGAGAGAGAGGTTTCAGAAATGAGGGGGAAAGGTTGCGTCGGTAGAGAGAGAGAGAGAGAGAGAGAGAGAGAGAAGGAAGAGTAAAAGGAAAAGTGCTTTGGAAAAAAATGAAAAGGAAGAGTGTTCAGAAAAAAAAAGGAAGAGTGTTTTGGAAAAAAAATGAAAAGGAAAAGGAAAAGGAAAAGGAAAAAGGAAAAAAATTAAAAAGAAAAGTGCTCTGGAAAAAAATGAAAGGGAAGAGTGTTCTGAAAAAAAAAAGGAAGAGTGTTCTGGAAAAAAAATGAAAAGGAAAAGGAATAGGAAAAAGGAAAAAGGAAAAAAATTAAAAATTATTTTGTATTATTTTATAAATAAAAAAATATTAATATTTTATTACCAATTACCAGGGTTATTTTAGTGTAGGGGTGGAGATACAAAATGCAGTTACTGTTCATTAAGGGATGTTACTGTTTACTGGGTGGATTAAATAGTGGATAGTCCTAGGGGGGATTAGACACGGTGGAACTGCTCTGAATTAAGTGGGTAAAAAGCAAAAGGAGGAACAAATTACTTATTGTAACAGGAACTTTCACTCCTTAGTGGATTTGAAGGCTGGTAGCAAATTAGCAAATGGTGGTGATGACAAGATTGATTGTGATTTAGCTTTTTAGTCAATTTTTGAGTTTGAATTTTTGGTTAAATCTGCAAACAAAGTAGTCAAACAAATAACCATATTGGTTTACAGTGGGGTAGGTATAATCCCTGGTGACATTCATAATTTGTTGGATCTAATTAGTTTATGTAGGGATTGTGATAATTCAGTTTTAGTTCCAACTAACGTATGAGGTTATCCACTACACTAACATGTTGTCCTCAACGTCTTACTTTAAAGAGATGCAGTTTTATCGGACATGAGATGTGTTCGTCGGACATGGTTATGTGGGAACTGGTGAAAGATTTCAAGTAGAATGATTGGTTTCGTGCAAAACTAATCAACGAATAAATTAGTTAAACTAATAATAATAATAATAATAATATTATTATTATTATAAGTGATTTAAACTAATTGATGCAAGAATATTTCCATTATTCAAACTAATAATTTCATGTGCAGATGACTCTTTATTACAATCTACAATGAGGAAAATAATTATGTTTATGTGTGTGTGTTTGATATTCACCGATTTTCTTCTTCTTCTAATTACTAACTATATAACCCATTAACTTTTGTCAAAGAAGAAAATTAATAATTTCACGTCATTGTTTTTTAATCAATAAACAATATTAAATCATTCATTTTTAATACACATTACCAATCAATGTCTACGAGTTAATAAATTAATTTTGGTCTCAACCGCTTATGGAATATTTCATTAAGAAGTTTAGGTCTTCATTGATTGAAGGCAGAGCAACATGACTATCATAGCCAGTACATCAAAACATGAGAGATTCAACAAAAATGAAAATAATTCGTCGAAAGAAATTAAATACTGAAGGGGATTTTTTGTTTTTTAGTAGAACAATAGCATTAATGAGTTTGATAGTTAGTTGTTAAAGAGAAATGAATCGGTAGAGATCGAACCCGCACCAAGATTATAAACATAATTATTTTTTGTCATTGCAATAAAACGCCATTTGTATGAAAGGGACATATTAGATACTCGGATAATCAACCATTGAAATTTGAAACCATGTCCCCATTTACAAGTTGTTGATCTTGGTGGACCACTTATATAACATCAAGAAATCGATGGGCGGTTCACATTAATATTCCCCTTTTAAAAACCAAGAACAATGTCTCAAAATAATTGCTGCATCTTAACAAATTATTTTCAAATGTTGTCTTTGTCAAACAACGCTGAGAAAAGTACCAGGCCCCGTGTAGTCTTGATTTTTTCACCAAAAATTGTTTCATTTCAAAGTAGAAAATAAAAAAAGAGTTTGGTAAAAATGAAATACCCTGCTTATTTTAAAAGCATGTGTTTAGTTGTCTTGAACGTTAAGTTTAGGGTTTATTTCATTTTTCCTATAAAAAAACTCTTTATATTTGTTTTTTGCTATATGGGATATCACATTTGTAAATCTTATCTACATCTAGACTTGGCAATTTTTTACACAACTTGTTAACACGACATGTAAATAACACGAAAATAACGGATTTTGGATCAACACGATAACTAATCGGGTCATTATCAGACCACACGATAAAAACTCGTTAATAACGGATCATTAACAGGTTTACAATAGGATGACACGTGGGGAACTTGTTTCGACACATTAAGAAAACAGTTCTTTTGATGATTTTAATTTTTTAAACTACTAAAAAAAACTTCCTATAAAATACAGTACCCATAGTATATATGTATATATTCTATATTAAATATGTATTATCGTTTATTATTCTAATAAATTTTAAAAATTTAAGTATTATTTAATTATTTATTTTTATAGTTTACTATAATCAAAGAGTGAGATTAAAAAAATTATAAAACACATTAAAAATAAATACATCAAGTAATTTAAAAATACCAAACACTTTTAAAAATTATAATAATAAAATTTCAAGCCCAAAAAATGTGAAAAAATATGCAAACACTTGTGATTGCATCCTCTATACTTTGAGGATGGGTTGTTTGAATTTTTGAAACCACACAAAACCTCATGAATAGTATTTTTAAGGGAGTTCAAAATAAATAAAATTCATAATTATTAATGTACAAGTCTGAAAAATGTGAAAACATATATAAAAGCTCGTGATTGCATCTTCTACGCTTAGACGATGGTTATATTGTAGTTTAGATTTTTAAAACCCCTCCAAATCTCATGAATAGTGTTTTTTATTTGAGTGCAAAATTAATAAAATTAATAATAATTATTGTAGGAGTGTGAAAAATGTAATACACACACACACACACACACAATCACAAGTAAGGACAAGCTTTACAACTTTTTTAAAGGGGTCAACTTCAAAATCTGACACCATAATCCATAAATCTTAGATTTAAATTTAACCGTCGATCGTCGTTTATGCTTTAGTCTACTCACCGAATTTCATTTTTTAGATTTTTTATTATTTATTGATTTAAAATATATTTTCTTTAACGGGTAATAGGTCGAGTCATATTACCCGTTTACTTTGATGAGTGTTACACAACACGACCCATTATGAAATCAGGTATGTCACGAAAATGATACGAACACGAAAAATACGACACGAATACCAAGTCTATCTACACCATCTATATCAAATAAAGGTACAATTCACAATGAAAGTAGCTCTCTTTTTTATGGAAAAAAAATTTAAGTTTAAACGTGGTCCACAAAATGTGGTTGTCCAAGCAATTTCATTTTATAAGAAGGCACCTCCAAGAAAGCGAGACACAGAAGTAGGGGTGGGCACGCCGATTCAGTTCGGTTTAGTTTCCAGACAGTTTTCAGCCTGAGCCATTTCACTCTTTTTTCTTTCTTTTTTATTGGGTTAGAAAAATAAAATGAAGTCACATTTAATCATGAACCCATAAATCAAAACTGATGACTTGCACGTTGTTAAATATCTTAGTGGATAGGGTGTTGAGCTGTTACTTATGCGTCCCGGTTCAAAACTCCCTCTTTTCTAAATTAGTAATAGTTTCGAATCCTCATTCTCCCCTGAATAATAATATATATATTTTTTTATAAAAAAATCCAAGAAGCAGAAAATCAAATTCTAAATCAAGATAAATACCAAATCATAATGGTTATATGAACAAAGCAAATCCTTTTCAAATACCAAATCAGGATGCATAAGATAAAGTCTTAATTATACAACCCAATTCAAAATTTAGAAACTGAAAGATTATAATAAATGCAAAACAATGTCATACAACCCATTAGAAATGGGAATAACAACTCCTCAGTAGCAAGCAATTCCTTGGTAGCAGCTCCTAGACAGCAGCTCTCGATGAACTATAAGAGATATTATAGAGGAAATACAGTCCAAATTGTTAAGGAAACTGCTGAAAAAAATTAAGTTACATATATACCATCAGTAGTAGGAGCTGACAAGCTTGGACTGAATAGTTTCAGGAGCTCCAATCCTAGATATGCCTTCATTCCTTCTTTCTAGAACATATAAAAATCAGGAACTCATTATAAAATAAGAAAGCATATAAAAAACATGAAAAATAAATATGCATATGTTATAAAATCGACAGTATGTGTAGTGGAATAAAAGAAACAAGACACAATATTTACGAGGTTCCTCTACAGTCAGTGTGATTGGAGTACGTCCTTGGGGCAGCAGTGGTGCTTTCATTATAATTTGGAATAATAGGAGTACAAAGATAACTCTCTATTATTTCCTCTCTTTTTCTCTCTTCCTCTTCTTTCCTCTCTCTCTCCCGTGAGTCACTCACCTATGTTTGGTGTGTGTTGCATTTATATAGAAAACATGAGTTGTAGGGAGTAAGCTTTGGCAGACAGCGAAAGACAACCTTTATTCCCACTTGTAGCTTAGTGGATTAGTGGCCAGCGTGGACATCCATCATATTTACAACACTCCTTATTGGATGGCCACAAGTTTTCGATTGACTCGTTAAAATCTTGATCTATCTTGGATGCTCCTCCTGATGAATATCTCTCCCTGATTTCAATTCATTTAGGCTGATCGTTGATCATTCTGCTTCAGTCTCTTAGCGAGAAGAGTTGCCGAAAGAGATGCTTTACTTGTTGTTAACTTTCCACAAGCTTGTTCTTGAACTGGGTTGGAGGGCCTTCTGCTAGACTTACCCCAAAGGTCTGAATTTACTCCTTTTATTTGGAACAGAGTTTGATTCAAGGGTGGTGGACACTTGATCTTGAATCGGACTTATGATTTCTTCAAGAGCTTCGAGGTTTGATCTTGAATGAAATTGGACCATGAGGAGCTTCACCTGGCAAGTGACCTTCGGTTTTGTCGGGGATGAATCAGCACGTATTTGTTGCGCTTGTCTCCACATGCTTCAATGTATCATTTTCACTTGCCTTACTTGCTCCCTTTGCTTAAGTAGTATGTTCCCTGGTTTTCCCCTATGCATGTGTGGCATAT